AGGGAAAAGCCAATGTTGCACAGCTGGACAACTTCTACCATTTATGATCTTGTTCTGTTACTTTCATTTCTTCATGGTAGGATGCTATACGAATTTTACAGTTTGTTTCACTACCTGTAAATATGTTCTTTCTCCACTCTACTGCTTTTTCAGGAATCCCATGAACAGTGTGTCCAGTGGATTGTAAGATTCATTCATAGCCAACATAGTCCTAAAAGAATTTCTTTTCTTTATGACTGCTTAGCAATGGCAGTAGAAACTGGACTTTTGCCACCCAGGTAAGCTATGTTGGAATGAATCAGTGGATAGGATGCATGGAAGTTGTAATACTGGACGGTATTTTACAGTGACGTTGTAAAATTCTTGCTGGAGAACACGTTCTTATTATCTGTCATTCATTTTTGCATTATCTCCTCCTGCTAGGATGGTTTGTGAATCTCTGATAAACTCTGATTCGCTTGAATGGGAAAGGACACAGTTGTGGGCATTAACATTTAAATTGGTCCGGAAGATTATTGGAGGTGTAGACTACAAGGTATCTTCCTCCCATTCCTTTCTTCGTGACAAAGCATAATATTTTCTGGCTTTGTTTTTATGATTTTATGTCAGAGACATCTAGTGTTTCAAAGCTGCTTTGATTCTGAAAGAAAAGAGTAATTCAGTGAGACCACTTTTAATGCTTTTTCATAGTTGAGCTTTACCTTAATAGATAGTTCTGTATGGACAGTGTAACTCCTCTCTTTGTTACGCAGTTGTCTTCTATCCCTCTTTCAATTGCAAGCTAAATAACCCTAATGCAGTTGCAGAAGTGGTACACATGGAAAAGTAATACTGTCAAGCAGTAAGGCTGAAGTTCTGGCACCTGCTGTGACCCCTGTTGCTGTGTAGGAAAGCAGAGTCTTTGGCAGGGTACAACTTGTAATGGAAGGAGTAGGAAACCATGCGTCTCCTGCTCAGAATCACCTCACCAGCATTGGTGAGTGTGTTAGAGCAAACAGCATAAAAAACAACATTGTGCTTTGGTCAGTCTGCACAAACTGTTGTGGGCTGGGTGTCTCTGGATATACATCAAAATTTCAACACTTGTTTTCTCATCTGGATTATCCTAAGATTGGGAAGTTCTGTGAGGAGTTACATATCCTGAGCGTTCACATTCTCAGTAGCAGTCTGTCTTCTGACATTTAGCAACAATCAGCTGATACGCCTGTCAACAGCTGACCAATTGTCTGACCAAAACGATTGTGTAGTCTTTCTGCCAGAAATAAAGACTATTTGGGAACGTTAATTTTGTTGTGTTTTCTTTTAGGGTGTACGGGATCTGTTGAAAGTGATCCTAGAGAAAATCTTAACAATTCCAAATACTGTGAGCTCGGCTGTTGTACAGCAGCTTTTAGCAGCAAGAGAGGTAGCTATCTGAATTTTATGTGTTATCTCTGTAATGGGAGATAGGCCTTGTTCTTTTATTAGTGAGTTTCTAATAGCTGGGGTGGCTCTCTGAAAGTTGGTACAGTTCAGCAGCAAAGTCTTTGTGCTCGATTTCTGGTCTGTAATTGCATTTTATACAGTAACCAAAGAGCTTTTGGGGGAATACTGTAGATAAGTAATAAAATCCCTAATGGGAGAGTCAGACCCAATGTTTGACTTGCCTAAGGTAAAATGTATGAGATACAATATCAAGATTAATATCTTTATTTTTTTTTTCTTAGTGAATGGCAGTAGTGATTGTTTTCAGTACTCCGTAGGCATAGCTTTACTTCAGCTTAAACGGTCTAACTTACACTTGCACAACTAAAACCAGGTTTTAAACTAACGTACTACTGTCAGAATATAACATAAGAAAAAGTATTTTAATTCTTATATCTGTTTTCATGGGCTGCCTGAGTCTAGTAGACAGACAACACCTTTGTTTACCTTGTCCAAAGTCTTTTACTTTGATGCATTTTTTTTATTTTTTTTTTAATAGGTGGTAGCCTACATTTTGGAAAGAAACGCATGTTTGTTACCTGCCTACTTTGCAGTTACAGAAATCAGAAAACTGTATCCTGAAGGAAAACTTCCGCATTGGGTAATGATATGATAGCAAATTGTGCCATCTGGAGTTTTGTTCCACACAAGATAAAATTACTGTTACTCACATAAAACAGAGTTTAAACGAGATTTAGAATGTTCTATTCAACGGTAAGCTCTGTGTATAGGCGTGCAAAGTAGGAGACAGGCTTGATGTGATTGTAGCAGCAGCTCCCTGTGTTCTTGCGTGAAGTCGATGACCTGGTTTTGACCTATGGGCTGAAACTCTTGAAGCACTAGGTTGTCTGTTGACTGCATTTGGAAATGCAGGTCATGCTTACCTACTGGTTTGCGCATTCTCTGTGGCTTCACAGTAAGAAAACTCGCTTTGAATTGCTGACCAGTGTTTATTTCAATTCAGTTATGCAAAAATATTTGGGGCTCTGGTGCAATGAAAATGGTCGTTGTTTCACAGGAGAATGTAAAGTTGATCTAGTTTTTAATTTTGTATTCTGTTACAATAACTAGGTATCAGGCAAAGTATAAAATCTAGATTCCCTTAAATGAATGGGAAGACTGTTACTGACTTCTTTTGAGCCAAGATTTAATCCAGAGGGCACTAATCTAGGTCCTTTGTTTTTGTGGAATTGTTATTCAGAGGCAAACAGAGATTTGTTATGAACAGAAATTCTAAAGCTTGTCTGAAATCATGTGTTACTAAATAATGTGCACTGAAATAATACAGTATGCACAGGAGAAAGACTTACTATATAATAACTCATTTGGTTGCAAGCTAAGGAGAGTGCTGCCTGCCCCTTTATGAGGTTGCATTTTTCCTTTTGTCATTTTTAGGTTTTGGATGATTTTTTGTGACTTGTTGAAATGTGAGGGAAGCTAGTTATTTTAGTAGATACCTGTATATGTTACTAAAATGTATAAACTGTTTTAAAGTCTTAAATATTGCTTAGCAGTATCTGCAACTTAAACCCTTATTTTTTTTCTCCTCACCCAGCTACTAGGTAATTTAGTGTCAGATTTTGTGGATACCTTTAGACCTACAGCAAGAATAAATTCCATTTGTGGTAAGAGAATGACTTCAAAATAATTGATTTTGAACTGTGTTGTTTCTTATAACCTTTTGGGGCATATATTCATCTAAGCAAAATGATTCAGAGCATTTGTTTCATGCGGTATTTTTACTCTTGACAGTTTGTTCTCAGACTTATTTATCTTCTCTTTTTTGCCTTGAAGGGAGAAATTAATACTAATGAGACCAAAACAATTTCTGTTACAGGCTGGTAGTGGAAGTCTACTACTTATTACGTGGCCATATACTTTCTAACTACAGTAGATGTTAGGTAAATTTTAGGTTTTCTATGCTCAAGGATTTTGAGACCACTGGTATGTTAGTCACAGTGTCTTTTCTGACTTCTGCTTCCTTGGAGCTTTTGTAGCTGCTCAGCTGTATGCATATTGTTGCAGGCTTCTGTGTGAACATTTCCTAGCTCAGACAAGTACTGGCTGTCCATTTCTGTGAAAGAAAAACTCACCTTTGTTTAATGCTAGAAATCCAAAGATTAAAATTTGGCTAATTTTTTCCCCTAAAAGATAAAAATGTCCTGTGTTTCTTTTGAGAATTAAGTAGCTTAATAAGCGCTGCATTGCATCTTGGATCTGAGCGAGGTTTATTGCAACTGAGCTCCTTCAGTGCAGAGATTGAGGATTTAAATTCATGTGAAATGCTCCAAAGCATTTTGTGTTTCAGAAGCACGTAGTAATTCTTCTCTTGGAAGTGTGGCATAGCTTTATGCATACGGCTCCCAGGGATCACACACAATTTTTACAAGTCTTGTATGTATAAGTGACCTCTGTAGAGATGGATGAAGGGAAGAAAGAAATACTTATTTACTTGTTTTATCTGGCTGTAATATGGCCAGTCTGGACAACCTAAGTCATGGAATTTGAACTGACAATGAGATTTAGGTCAAAATTGGGGCGCCTGAATTTAGATGCTGATACCCAGGTGCACTAGGGTCTCAGTTCAGATGCCTGTCTTTAAGCAACTGAAACAGATCCCAGGTGTCTAATTGACACTAACAAGTCTAAACTTACCCTACAAAAAACTTTATGTGTGAACAACTGAATCGCATTGGCCTACACTGATGGAATCGACTAGATCTCCACTGACTGCAGTGGGGAGTGCAGACGCTTGTGTTCGAGTAGTTTACTGAACAGAATCCTGCCCACGGTTTGTCTTGCAGGGTGAGCACAGGAAAGTCGCAGGACTAGGTTATATACTTAGATTAGTAATACCATTTTCTTTGTGGAAAGGGTCAGCGTACAAAATTAAATCCCTAGATCAAGCGATGGCAATGGGACAGTCTTCTCATAACCTGAAAGGGCACTTTAAGATGAGTATTTGCAAATACTTTTATTTTCAGGGTACCCAGTCTGAACAGAAGGTGATTTTACTCCTTAGATATTTTATTAGTTGAAAATTAGATAGAAAAATAAAGTCACTCTGAAGCAATCCTATGATAAAAAGCTTTAAACAGTGGAAATTTAAGAAGAGCATAAAAGTGGCTGAGGTCAGTTTTTGCATCAGAACGATGAAACAATAGGCCAGTTGCACTGTTTTAGAATTTGTGTTTTGTTGCATGTAGGTCGCTGTAGTCTTCTCCCCGTGGTAAATAACTCAGGTGCCATGTGTAACTCATGGAAGCTGGATCCTACAACCCTTCGCTTTCCTTTGAAAGGTCTCTTGCCATATGATAAGGTATGCCTTATTAAGCTTCTTGAACATGTTAAATTCAGTAAATACAAAGCTTTTATATCATTAGGGGAAGCAAGTGATTTCAACTGTGAATATCCAGTTGTTCCAGTTAGACTAACGTGGGAGACACAGATGTTTTCACTGTGGTATATATTTCCGTGTTTTCAGACTATGCGTGGAGGACCTTTAGTGTGGGTCAACTGCTGCCCAGGATGCCAAAGAACATGAGATGTTCAATGTGCTGTGTGGGTGTGTGTGTGAGAGAGAGCGAGAACAGAGAATCAATTGGAAAATCAGTATAGTGGTAGGGAGGTGAAAGAGGATGGGAAGGTAACTTCTTCCTTTCTGTGCTCTTAGTTATTCCATAGGAAGGATAATTTTAGAAGTCAAATATGAGTTAACTTATTTAAACTTAAAACGCGGAGTGCGAAGTAGTGGTGTGCTGAAAGAATTTAAAAACTTTAAAGGATCAGGACAAAAATACACATTGTCTAGCATCCCATTCCCTGTATCCTAGGCGCCTAAAGAAGGATATAAAGCTAGTATGTTTAATAACATGTATAGTGTTCTCACTCTACAGCCATTACAATTTTGAATGTTTCCTGAGACAGGTTTGGCTTCTGTATATTTAGTTATCTGTGTATTTTATATACAGTATGTAAACTATATATTGCAGTATTGTTTAGTTACATTATTATTCCTCTTCGAAATATTTGTTCAGTCTCCTCTTGAGCTTGTGTAAGTTTTTAGCATCCTCAACATCCCTTTGACAAGGAGTTCCACATTTCAACTTGTTGCATGAGGAATCGGCTCCTTCGGTTTGTTTTGAACCTAGCTTCAGATAACGTGTTTCTTTAAAGTGATTCAGCTATTGGAAGACACAGTGAGCAGTTGTGCCCCATCTGCTTGCTTCACCCTACTCGTGATTTTTATGCCTCTTGGTCATGTGCCTCCTCAGTTGTCTTACCTGGCTTCCTCTGAGTTCTTGACGGTCTGCCAGTATTCAAGGCTGTTTCAAAAAGTGTGCCATCCTTTCGTGGGGTGAAGAATGTTCTTCTACTTGGTCCCTGTAAAATCTATCACTTCTTAAGATCTGGGATTATTTCTTCCTTTCTTTTGGTGTCAGAGAGCAAAAAAGATTTGCCAGATAATGCATATCTGCATGAATTAAACATTCATCCTTAGGTTGTACATAAACTCAGTATGAAACATAATCTTGAGGCAATATATGTTTGTTTGTGATTGCTTTTTTTTTTTTAAGGATCTGTTTGAGCCACAGACTGCTTTGTTGAGATATGTGCTGGAACAACCGTATTCAAGGGATATGGTCTGCAATATGCTAGGTCTGAATAAGCAGGTACTGTACTGTGCTGTAACATGTGGTTTAATTCTGCATAGAATCTGCACTATTCTTTTTCTCTTTTCTTTGCTATAGCTAACTGAGCAAAACAGTTTAGGTACAGAGAGTGATTTTTTTTTGTTTTGATTTTTTTTTTAATGAGATCATATTAGGTTAATTGGACACTGTTGTTCCTATCATTTGTATATTGCTTTACGAATGTTAAATTGAAAAGTAGAGATTTAAAATATGATTTTTTTTTTGCATTGCTTTTTTTTCCTATAAGGCCAGCCTCAAGTACACCTTTGACAGACAGCGGGAGACTGCTAGCTCAGTCAATAAAAATGGTTATTGTTCATGTCATTAGTTTTTTTACAGCATTGTTGTTCTCTGTTATATTGGCATGTTATAGTACTAGAATAGGGAAAAGCTGGGTTTTGTCTTGTTACGTTTTTTTCTTTTATACCTTAGAATGGGAGGGCTTAGTCTGACTTGGGGATCCTTGAGGCTGGCCTCATAGTCACTGTTTTGTCTTTTCTTTTTTTCTTCCTTTATTTTTGTTCTGTCCTGTCTTGTCCTGCCCATCCTCCAATGCTCTAGACCTTGAACATTGCTCAGGTATGTTCACAACCTTACTGTTGTATTGTGACTAACGATACGCTGGCCGCTTTGTAGCCACTGATTCCAGTTAGAGAATACATGTGCAGTCAGGGCTTGAAATTGGCAGGACCATTAGTCAAGCTCAAATTCTCACTACAGATCTCTAGAGAGATGAGAGATACAGTGTAAAGCTGACAGTCAGTGGTCCTTTGGTCCTAAAATTTCTATTGGAATGGACTGCTCCCATTCCCTTACCAGGCATAAGAACTTCTGCTTTGTCTGCTAGAATTTTCAGATGAGGAGAGATTCGTAGTTCAAAATTTCTTTCCTTATGCAGTTGGAAAAAACATCCACTGCCCTTAAATGGAAAATTATAAAGCGTAAATACATCATTGATTAAAAAAAAAAAGAAGCTTTACTAGTGGAATTTCCTTATCATTAGGAAGCCTCTGTAACAAACATCCCAACGGGCAATTAAAATATTCTCCAAGCTAGGTAAAAGAAAGGTAGTGCAGAGTACCGTGTGAAAAGTAGTTCCTTAAAATCTGACTACTTGTTTCAATAAATAAATAAATAAACAAACGCCTGAGCAAGTCAATCAAGTGGACTTCTGCTTGAAATTTGAATTTATGGGTATTATCTTTACAGTTGATCCCTTGTTACAATAACCAATTCCACGCCTACTTTATAAAACACTGCCTAAGATTTCTAAAATAGCGTTGCTGTTTGCAATACTATAGTGAAGGTTGTGTCAGTGTTTCCATTTAAGAGACTTTTTTCAGATTTGTAACTTGACTATAAAATTTACATGATCCTGAAACCTTGTGTATATTTCCCATTGTAAGTGAAATCTACCAGTGCTCTTTCTGGACTGGGACAATGTTTTTGAATGCGCAGATTCCTACATCTTGGCAAACAGTACTCAGAGTGGAATATGACAGTCTTTTGTATCTGAGACTTCAAGCAGCTGAAACGTTAAACCTTGGAAATGAGCTGCTAGGTTCAGTGTCAAAATGAGTAGTATTTGTATTCTGTGTCTACTTCTGTGTCTACATTCAGTTAATAAATTAAACTATTACTCTGTGCATTGTGTAACTGGTAAATAATACAACATCTGGACAAAAAAATATATCGAACCCGTTTTATTCTTCTACCTATGGATGGTCTGTGCCTTCAGGTCAAAAAAAACTTTGATGTTAAAAATGCTGGCTTTTAACTCCTACCTTACTGTCCTCTAAAAGTAATTCAAGAAAACTGAAGAAACATATCGAACTATACTTCATAAAATTTGTTTACTAGTATAGGAATTCCTACACAAAGTTTCAACCTGGCGTGAAGTTTTATGGCCAAGGAACAAACTTGAAGAACGTAGCTTGCAAAGGAAATGCTGACAGAACATGAACTATAGCTGTGCTACTACAGTTACAACACCATAAAGATGTTTGGGCCGTAGAACATTTGTGAGTTAACATAAATACAGAGTAGGATGTTGTAGTGGTGCAGAACAGGTAATAATGTTCCATTTAAACATTAATATGCTCTGTCTAAAACTGCGGAAAACATTAAAATTTTACTCACTTTTAGGTACAATTTAACTTTATGTTGTAGTTGAATGTGTTAATGTAGCCACCTGAGAAAAAAATAGTAGCATGATTTTCAGAAGTTGTGTAACTGTATTGATGCTTTCAGTGAAATGGCTGATATTTTGTATTTTCTTGTTAGAACTGAACTAACTGAAATTTATTGTCAGTGTAATACGAGACACTTAGAAACGAAATAGTGTCAGTTTGTTTCAAAGTAAATACAGAAACACCTCAAAGCGATGATCATTATTTATTTATGATCATTAATGATTGATGTGAAGCTGCTTGTATGCCCTGTCAACTATTTACACAGATCCAGTTGCAGGATTGGAGCCTTCATTTGAATCTTTTGGCATCACAAACTAGGTATGGTTCAGCCAAATTTGTCCTAGTTTTCAAATATTCTTGAAGATGAACAATGAAATTTTCCGGTTCAGTCTTAATTAAGCTGGTCTATGGTAGAAAACTGTTCGCTCAAGCCATCTCTGGGTTGTGTTAAAAAAAAAAAAAAAAAAGCCACCACCACCAAAACCCCCAGAACAACTCTAGTAAGCTGAACTTTTTTCCACACTGCCCTGGGGTGTGTTAAAAAAAAAAAAAAAAAAAGAGTACAAATCCAGCTGTCCTGTTAACCTTGCAGAGAGAAAAATAAAGGTAAAATTTGATATCTTTGTAGATTCATATGTTCCTTTCGGGATTCCAAGTTTTGCCATCGGGTTTTGTTGTGGGGTGAGGTTTTCTAATACCTTTATTAAGTATATGGCTTTAGTCCAGATGTAATAATACGGACTTCAAACTGTTCCTTCTGTTGGAGTCTGGGGATTTTTATTTTTTGCTGCTGTGTACTTCTGTGTGGGACAGTACCTTTTCTTGTATATCTGTTTCAGTTGGTCTATGGGAAGCTGAGATTTAAATTGCGTGTTACCATGTGTTGTTATGGTTTACAGTTGGACTCGATCTTAAAGGTCTTTTCCAACCGAAATGATTCTCTGTCAATTTGTATTCTGCTGTTAGCTGGGGTGATACTCCTAATACTAATTATCTTCTAAATAATTGGTTGAGGTACGTAACATTCTGGGTTTTTTAAAAATGATTGACGGTTCAGTGTGTCTAAATACATTGATGCCAAATTAGGATTTGGTTCAGGGATCCTGCAGTTGGTTCTTAAAAGCGAGCTTTAGCAATGTCTTAAGGACATGAAGTCACTTAGAATGTTTGGGTTTATACCTTTAACCTCTCTGTACAGACTTGTATGAAGAATAAAATGCCAATTTCGCTTGCATACTTGCCATCAGGATTGTATTGCAGTCCTGTAAACAGTGGAAAACTTTGTTAAACCTTGATTTCTCTGGGCTGGGGAATATCTGAAAGAGAAGGTAATTTTCAGGTGTCTTGTTTCTGTAATGTTATACAGACTTTTAATTAACAGCTATTGCATTAATGATTTTGCTCTTTAAAGAGTGTATTTGGCTGGTCACCTTTTAAACCAGCAGTGGTGATCTGCTGCTTTGAGTAGGAAATGACCCGTGCCATACTCTGTCCAGGTGAATGTGCAGTTGTATTCTCTCCTAGCTACAAGACAGGATAGTTTGCTTGGGGAAGATGTTTCTTGTCTCTGGCCATGCATTGTGTAAGGACAATCATTATGTGAAGGGAATGCTATGATGCAATATTCAAAAATTGACTTTCCCTTTTATTTTTAAAATCTTGCAGGTTGAGGACAGGAACTTACTATCCAATATTATTAGTGTTAACAGGGCAAAGTACTTGAATTAAGGGGTGTGAGTATGTATTTCTGATTGTAAGAATATGCGCTGAGAACACGTGAGTGCAACTTCCTTGTTGAAACTTACTCCAGTTTTTAATGAGGTTAACTTGAGAATGCCCACTGAACATGGTAGAATCAGGCATAATACAAACAAGCTTTAAGGGGTTGTGTCTTGGTAGCACACAGTTTGGGAACATGGAAGTGAGAGAGGAGCTATAGTTCTGTCTTGTATTAACTACTTCAGGCATTTAGCTTACATGGTTTGAATTCAGTGTCTGGAGACAGAGTTGTACTCTTGCAAGGATCTTGGGCTCTGCAGTTTGGCCTTCTGAATCCATTTCTTCAAGTGTGGATATTTTATTAAATATTTTTGAGCTAGATGTTGTTGGTTAAAATATTCAAAAACTCTTAATAGCTTGCAGCTAGCCTTACTGACCTCTTAAAATAGTTTTCTTTTAGGGAACACTTAATGCCACCCCTCCCCCAAAAAACCCAACCCAAAACAAACTCACGAGAACAAACCCCCACAACCAGTTGGGGGAAAAAAAAAAACCCCAAACAAGAAAACCCCAAACCCAGTTGAAGCTTTGATCCACTTAAAGCACCATTAGTCCATCAGAGGGCTGAGACCAAGAAATTTTAGTATCAAGCTGTTATGAGGATGGTTTCCCCCCTCCCCCCTGTATTGTTTTTATGGTTTAATAATGTTTTCAATGAGAGTATGTATTTGTCAGATCGTCAAATCCTATTTTCAGGGCAAAATGGCTAATGTGTATTTATATAACAGAAATACAAATATTTCAATAATGTTCTCTTTAGGAAAACAAAGCATAGTGGTTTTGAATGCTGTATTTTTCCATATATAATCCAAATCAGTGCAGGCTTTGTTTGGTTTTTGTTCTGTTTAAGCCATACCAAAAAATGAGTTCCTACTTATTTGTAAGGGAAATCAGCTCCCACCTATATTTTTATTCATCTCCATGTTTACTGAGATGTTCTTTCCATTACAGGCAATTAATAAAATAAGGCCCCAGTCCTGCAAATTCTTATGCAGCACAGTGTTTTATTTTTCAGTGCTTCAAAACTATAGGTACAAAATCTGTACAAAAACGTATATTCACTGAACATAAAGAAAAAAATGCCAGAAAATGAAATTAAGGTAGAAAGTGAAGTACTGCTATATTTCTTTATTGAAAATTGTTCTTAAAGCAATAAAACTGTGATTTTAAGAATAAAAGACTGAATTTATTCTTTTAATTTCCTGGCTCCGAAAATTTTCCCAATCTTAGAATCATTCAGAATGGTGAAAATTCCTACTGGAAATTCTGGCTTTCCTTACAACAGTAATATTCTCCTGTTGTATTCTTTGAATAACTTTATTCTAAATTAATATAGCCTAACATGATTAGGCTTTTGAACATCAACCCAGAGCTTAGCAAACTATTAAATTTCAAGCCCTGTACGTAGTAGTTTTGCATGCTGGATTATAAACTAGTCTGTAGTGTTGTCTGTTGCACCCTGCTCTGCTTCATAATTAGTTGCTTTGGGAGGGGGAAAAAACTGAAGCACAGAAACCCCCAAGTATTCTCAGTGGGTGATGTTAATACTGCTCTCCATAAACACGGAAGGCGGTCGGTCCGGGATAATGGCGTTGCGTACTGGAGGAGAAGGTGGAACTGTAGGCGATGCTTTCTGTCTTTAGTTGGAGGTTTGTGTTAAGCATGCTTCCGGAAAGTACAGCTACAGTTGTAGCTTTCCGTGGTTTCGAGCTGGTGAAGGGGATGCTGTTCACTATATTTTGAACTTTCACTGAAAAGTTCACAACTTTTCCCGTTCTTGCATTATATTTTCAATTGAAAAGAATCTCTTTGTTGTTTTTCATGGCAAAAGACCACCCTCAATGAAGGTAGAACAAGCATCTCCTTTCAGCATCTCTCTTTTCCTTTGGTTATGTCTTTCTTTATTAATTAAAAGGGTTTTTTAGGCTGCCTTGCTAGTAAGTCAAAGAACTCATCTAAGGCATCCGTAAAACTTTTTATGAGTGTTTGGGCTATCTTTTTAACCTTTTTACATACACCTTTTTGCCTCTGGAAAGGGACACTGCATTTTCATGATTAGTGTTTGAGCAGCTCAGTTCCTTTTCTTTTGTATCATTGAAGTAATAATGTTTTCTTTAAGGCTGCATTATGTTACAGGCATCAGCTGTGTTTAAAATAAAATAAATGAAAGTGACCATTCTGGAATAGAGATTGTAGTGCAACAAGCAGGTGTGTTAGATTATTTCCAAAGTGCTAGCACTGTCTGAAAGGTTAAATTCCACGCAACCTTTTGTCCTTAGTATTGTGTATTAGGGTTACTGTACTAATGCAGGGTAACAAAAGGTGGTTGCGCTAAAGGACTTGTGGTGTGACATGATGCTCGATGGTCTTCAGTGGGTTTGTAATCCGAGTTCCAAAGCACTGGTAGTGGGGCCTGCTTTACCTACGCTGTACTAACGTGTGTATCTGAATGTGTAACGCACTCCTTACTTAACAATTATCAGAAGTCATCAGGGAAGGTGTGTATTTTAAATGAGTTCTGTGTTTGCGTAGCTCACTGTGGAGATTGTGGCAGTCTAAAGCTCATGCCTGAAGAGCTTATTGCTAGGATATGTGGTTTCTGTTCTGTTCACAACACATAGAACATACCACTTGTATCAGATTATTTTCAAGTCTTTTTTGGTCTTGCCTTGTACCAGCTGGGGCTGTGTCAGTAGGATAGCAACTAATGATAGGGCTGTTAACCAGATGTTAATTCTGCTGCTGGTTGTAGTTTGTAGGTGAGCCCAAAATGAGAGTAAAAAAAGAATAGTCATTAAACACCTGTGTCAGGTATTGGGATGTTTCCTCTGGATTTGGTGGTATAATTCTTACATCTTTTTCTTTATGGTGATTCCTACTTTTGAAATGGACTTAAAGGGGAAAAGAGGGAAGGAAGAGCACCAAACCAAAAAATAACCCCATCCAAACTATCAAAGGAACCGCCACCAGTGTCTTAAAAGAACGGACTTCTGTTTTCCATGAATGCAAGTTCAGAGAAATAACATTCTGCATGAATTTATTAAAAAGCAAACAGAACCCTCAGATGGTATTTGTGCATGGATGGTATGTGTTTTGGAACTGAGCAGAGAGTTGTATAATGTGTGATAACATGTGAAAATCATCATGACCTGTAACATAGTGCAGCTTTAATACACTGGCTTATCCTTAACTTAAGTTCAGACTTCATTTCACGCTTCCCAGCCTTCTGTCGAAATACTGTACTGTTAACTGCAGCTGTACAAGTTCTGACGTTAACGGCAAGGCTTTTGGAATACTGTATCTGATCTCTGCCTTACAGCACAAGCAGCGCTGCCCTGTGCTGGAGGACCAGCTGGTGGATCTTGTGGTGTATGCCATGGAACGGTCTGAGACAGAAGAGAAGTTTGATGATGGTGGAACCAGTCAGCTTCTGTGGCAGCATCTCTCCAGCCAGCTCATTTTCTTTGTGCTCTTTCAGTTTGCAAGCTTTCCTCACATGGTCCTGTCACTCCATCAAAAGGTAAATTGTTTGTATCGCTTCCACTTGGTAAGAGAGATTTTAACCAAAACGAGTTTAAAAAAGAAAAAGGTCACTCACCTCTGCAAGAAGTACCCTGTGTGTAAAAAGTTTGGGTCATTGTGCTCTGTAGAAGTAAGTCACATTCTCAAGTTACGTTGCTGTGAGCTAGGTCTGCTTCCCGTGTATTCAGTTACAGGATGTTGTGTTGCATCTGGATTCAAAATGTGCTAGTAACTAGCTTAAGGAGATAAACTGGCATAATTCAGTACTGTGCTATTGCATCCAGTTTATAACCAAGCTTCAAACAGGGTCAGTGCCCTGTTCAGTTTGTACGCTCAAGAAACATGCCAAGTTTATGGATTCAAGAACCTTGTCTGTCTGATCAGAGCAATCTGGTCAAAGACAATTTGTCCAATTACGGTGGTATTGGCAATGACCGTCCAGAGTTGTTATTACTTCCTAATAATAAATCCATTAAAACTCCTACGCTTTCTCGTATTTACCCTTTTCTCTGGTGCTCACTGTCAGTTCCGTGTTATATCAAAATTTACTGTGCAGGTTATGTTTTAGTTGTGGTGGGTTCTAGTTCTCTCCTCCTTTGATAGCCCAGAAAATGGTTTTACCAGGGTTGCATTCCTTTAATTGCTGTTAATGAACCACTGAAAGAGTAGGCACTGTACAATACAGTTGCACCAACCTAAGCTAAAACTAAAGCAAGTTAGGTACGAGTAGAGGTTAGGAGTAGACTACTGGTTATTAGACAGTTGCTGGTACAGATAAAGAAGTTAAATAACAAACCCCCCACCCCCATTCCAGACAGGTCCAGATGAAGTGAGCCCAAGTTCTGGTTCAGAGACTTTCTTTATAGGTAGAGTTGATAGAACACCTGTGGCCTGCTGCTCGTAGTGGCAATACATTACTTGGCTCCAGGACTACAAGGTGACAATTTAAGTCCAATATTTGAGTTGCTAATTTTTCAAAACAGTGATCTTCAAGAGCTAAGTAACATTTTGTGTCCCACCGTTAATTGCTGTGGCCCTCCCAGAGACTGTGTTACGATTAACGTACCTGTTTGCCTGCCATCTTTCTGAAAACATGATGTACATTTCTGCCAAAGTCCTGCTATAAAATTCCCAGCAACCTCTGCTGGAACTGTTTTAGTCTGTCCTTCTACTTTTAGAGGAATCTTTGAAGTGATTTTTCTTCTGCATGCAGCATTTGTGCGTTACTGAGTGTTTTTAACAGTTGGCAGGCCGTGGTCTCATTAAAGGAAGAGACCATCTGATGTGGGTGCTGCTCCAGTTCATATCTGGCAGCATCCAGAAGAATGCACTGGCTGACTTCCTCCCGGTTATGAAGCTTTTTGACCTCTTGTATCCTGAGAAAGAAGTAAGTCTTCTCTCTGAAATTAAGTGTTTTACTATTAATTTTTAATTCAACCTGAAACCTTTGTATGTCGGTATTACTGTCATTCTTGTGTCACTGTTACAGCAGTCTTGCTGCATAGACGGAGAGAGATGTTTCATAATCGAACACAAATTTTCAGGATTTCCGAGCTATGTTTTTCCAGTAACCACATTAGGGCGGTGTTTTTAAGGACAAAACAAGACTTCCGTTAACTCATCTGATAGGTGAAGCGACAGGACAAGAGGAAAGGCTCTCAAGTTGCTCCAGGGGAGGTTTAGATTGGATTAGGAAAAATGTCTTCACCAAAAGGGCTGTCAGGCATTGGAACGGGCTGCCCAGGGAGGTCGTTGAGTCACCATCCCTGGAGGGATTTAAGAGACATCCGGATGAGGCGCTCAGGGACATGGTTTAGTGGTGGATTTGGCAGTGTTAGGTTTACGGTTGGACTTGATGAGCTTAAAAGTCTTTTCCAACCTGTGTGATTCTGTGATCTCTCTATTGACTTTGGTCTGACTAAGGTTTTGAGGAGTCTGTTGAAGGATACTGTATGAGGATACTATTAAGGATTAATGTGGAATTTTATTGTTACATCTGGGCTGTAACAGTAGAACGCTGAGACTTTCAGGTGCAAAGAACGGAACAAGACACTTGTTTTGCGTTAGTGGTTACTTAAAATTCATTCTGCAGTAACAAATCAAATTTCCAGTCATGCTTTGTACTTTCCTCTAGAATGAAGGTTCCCGAGGAAAGGGGAATTAGGGGAAGTTGTCAAATTTCCATCGTGACAGCATTCAGCATTGTCAGCATGAAGTCCTGATTGCTTGCTCTTATAGAGCTTTCTATTTTGGGTCAGTAGTCATGTTAAGGCAAACGTGTGGCGCATCGAACGGATATGTAGCAATTTTTTCCCTTCTTGAGTTCGTTTTGACCCACAGAAATTTTTCAGTACAGTTTGTTTCATGAGCTCGCGATTGCTTTTGTCAGCACAAAATACGTGAAGAGTGACAGGGCAATTTACTTCAGCCATAGTGATGTGCTCTGAGTTACCCTGGGTTGTGAGACTAGGGCATGTCCACGGGTGCAGTTTCACAGGCAGTTTAAGTGGTACCTGTGGCTGTTGCTCCTAAGAGGGTATGTCTTACTGTACCCTTGACGCGGCATTGCTGCTGCCTCACTTGTGCCTTCAGTGGTGTTTGTGCAGTAGCAACTCTACCGAAGGGAAAGAAATGGAGAGAGTCAGAGGGCCTTTTCCAGTGGCAGTAATACACCTGAGTCTGTAGCCAAAGCCTTTTGAATTCTGTGGTATATGTGTTCCTTTTCATTGGACGTGTATTAATCTTGGGAGTATATGGTGATGCTGGACAAGGTAGATTTTCCAGAAAATATTGCTGAACCACTGAGTACTTTACTATGGAAGCACATACTGTAGCTGATTTCTGAATAATGTGGAAGTGTGAGGCTGAGAGTAAAAATATGTGCTTTGTAATTATATGTATGTACTGTGTCTTGAATTTATATACTCTAAGCAAAAAACTTCCATTTGCTGGGGTCTTGGATTATTTGCTTGGTTTGGGGTTTTTCTCAGAATAATTACTGAGGTCCAAGTCTATTCCAGAGCTCTTGATATAAAACTGCAGGCACGGATGAGTGTAGGATCTGTTTTTCTGAAACGTTGCTTATAGTGTTGAAGTCAGCAAAACAAAAGCTTGTGAATGGTGGCTTTCTAAGTTGGTTTTCTGTACGTTAATACAACATGTCACGTTGATGTGTTCTTTCTTTAGTGTATTCCTGTACCTGATATTAACAAACCCCAGTCAACTCATGCTTTTGCAATGACCTGTATTTGGATTCATCTGAATCGGAAGGCCCATAGTGACAACTCCAAGTTACAGATTCCTATTCCTCATTCTCTTAAACTTCACCATGAGTGAGTTTTGTGGGTTTTGTTACGTTTTATTTGTCTCTAGACGTAATGGAGTAGGAAGCTCCAAGGCTGTAATCGGAATGTGTTGTGTGATGGGATGCTGTGTAAGGGTTATCGAAGGAATGAGCTCAAAGTCATTCAAAAAGAAGAGCTCAGAGTCAAAATATTTTGTGAGAAGTGAAATGCTGTTACCATACAGCTAATGGGAATAATACATTAAATCTGAGCTTAATAAGTCTTTCTTACTGATGGAGATTCTGAAAGAAAATAAACAATTCTGGTTTATTACACCGTGGCTTGGAAAGTGTGGATAAGCAGTACATTGGGTTAAGTTTTGTCTGGAAAGGTGACTTTTTTTAAGTGTATTTTTCTCCTAAGCAGTTTCTCTGTTAGAGGAAAATCATAACACAGTGAAACTGAGGCCTAAGATGTAACCATTTTGCTTTGGTGCCATTAATAAATACTCTGGGTTTTTTTCTGCTATTTTACAGTAGGTTTTTGACTGGGGTTGTTGTGGCTGTAACCCTGGAATGCATGTGTATTCTTCTGCTTTTTTTTTTTCTACTTAATGGGTAATCTCTTTGGCATGCAGGTTTTTGCAACAGAGTTTAAGAAATAAAAACTTGCAGATGAACGACTACAAGATTGCCTTGTTGTGCAATGCTTATTCAACCAATTCAGAGTGTTTCACTTTGCCAATGGGTGTACTAGTAGAGACTATTTATGGAAATGGCAATATGAGGATACCTCTTCCCGGGACTAATTGCATGGCATCAGGGTCTATTACCCCGTTGCCAATGAACCTCCTGGACTCACTCACAGTTCATGCCAAAATGAGGTACAGTATGCAGCTAGCTTTTTCTGTTGTTTGTTTGGGTTTTTTTTTTTTCCCAACCTGTAGATGTGCGTGTAAATAATTAACATCAGGAGAGCTTTCTTGTGTCTGGACATGTCATGTATAGATCTGTCGAGTTACTTTATGAATTTCCTAACTTTCAAGGCCTTGTTTTTGATCGAAAACCACTTTTCTTTCTTTTCTCAGTCTGATTCATAGTATAGCTACGAGGGTGATTAAGTTGGCTCATGCCAAATCTAGTGTGGCCTTGGCTCCTGCTCTTGTGGAAACCTATAGTCGCCTGTTGGTGTATATGGAAATAGAGTCCTTGGGCATCAAAGGCTTTATCAGTAAGAAAGAAAACCTTTTTTTTTTTCTTTTTCCCTCATCCTTTTGTTCAGTAGTAGTTTCCTTAAATGACAACTAGAGACCATAGTAAAAATGAAAATGTAATGATGCAGCATGTTGAATACATGCATTAATTATTTTAATATGAAAGGAATTGTAATAATTATCCAAGTGCTGCAGTAAATTTCAGATGAGTGTTCTGCTGTCCCTTTATGCCATCAGTTGTATAGTCAGGACCTTCCTAGTTATGCCGTGTTGTGCAAAAATGCACTAGATGGAAAATCGTAAGCCAGGTTACTGAAGTAGATGCAAAGGATATTTAATTGCACTCAGTAAAATAGCTTGCATGCCTGCTGTATACACTCATTCAAAAGATTATTGAGCTCTGCACGTTTACGGCATCTTCAGACAGCGCTTGCGCACGTGCTCTTTGGAGAAAATACGGTTTTCAAACCAAGTATCAGTCTTGCAGCTAAATATAACCGTCCATCCACAGCGTACTCTGTATTCTATTTTAAAGTGCAGTCGCTCGGAAAACTTACTTTACAAACTTCTTTCCATAAGGTCAGCTCCTGCCAACGGTGTTCAAATCTCACGCATGGGGCATTTTGCACACTCTGCTAGAAATGTTCAGCTATCGGATGCATCACATCCAGCCTCATTACAGAGTCCAGCTGCTCAGCCATCTTCATTCCTTGGCTGCTGTGCCACAGACTAATCAGAACCAGCTTCATCTGTGGTGAGTGATGGTTACCGTGTTTAACCGTATTCTCCAATTCTCCTTCGTCATATGAAGAAAGCTTTGGTTTAAATGGGACATGAGTACTTCCCAGTTTTAGTTCTGTGACTAAATTGTTTTGTGGTATCTCGGCAGGTCGCATTCCAGAAATACAGTTAGATGTTAGCAGTAGTGCGTTGCAGAGTTGCATGGGGCAGCCTCTTGTGCAGACGTGGCAGCAGTGTCATAGGTCAGAACACAAGAATGGGCACCAGAACCGCCACACTGGGAAGTGTCGAGGGTGGTGAGGCACTGGACAGGCTGCCTAGAGAAGCTGTGGATGCCCCATCCCTGGCTGTCTTCAAGGCCAGGCTGGATGAGGCTTTGAGCAACCTGGTCTAGTGGAAGGTGTCCCTGCCCATGGCAGGGGGGGTAGAACTAGATGATCTTTAAGGTCCCTTCGAACTCTAACCATTCTATGGCTCTGTGATAGTGTTTGTTGAGCTTCTTGTGCTGGAGATAAAGGGCAATGCATGCTACTTGTAGTCACAGTGATTGGCTTGTCTGCCAGGGAGACTGCGCTTGCTTACTCCCGTAGAGGATGTTTGATTCCATTACAAGAGTTAAGTTGGTTCCAGTTAATTCTGTAGCAAAGTTAATTTTCAGTCAGATCAGAGAAATAACCTGGTTCATCCTGCAGCTGTAAAGCAATTCGCGCGAAACTGCGGTGGCTGTATGTGAACCTGGGTGGAGAAAGCAGTGTGTCGCTTCCATTGTCTGATGTGTCTTATGTCAGTGTAAACCACACATAAAGCAATAGCTGATTTGGGCACAAGAAAGATGGAAAAACTAGTTAAAGAAGCTTTAGAGTTGATAATGCAGATAATTCTGAGGAAAAGCTTTGAGTTTAAATTAGCTGTGAAAGAAGTTGAAGGGTATGAGATTCAGTTTGTATGTAGAATCTGGGGTTTGTCATAGAGAAGTTGGAGAAAAGAGTGTCCATTCATTCTTGGAGTAGAGTGGTTCTTGTGGGGGTATGTGAGGGAGGCAGAGCAACCTCATTATTATCCTAAAGTCTACTTACACAGTAATTTCATAGTCCAAACTCAAATTGCTAGGTTGCTTATCCTTTATCAAGAATAAAGAGAACAAGTGAAGACAAGTTTCTCCCTAAATGAAGGTCTTTCTCTTTTTATTCACCTATATCTTGTTTTGTCATCTGTGAAATATGGATGTTAATCAGACACTTTCGATAAGCAGTACGTGCAACTAGAGTGGAGCAAACCAGCCTCTGGCTTTGGCATTTCAAAGTCACCATGTTATAAAACCCTTTTAAATTACTTGGAACTACTTGGTGTGAACAGCGCTTCCAGCTAGAGCACTGGCAGATAAATTGCTTTTAATCACAAAGCAGTACTTCCTCATTTCTTTATTAAAGGACAGTTAGTGCTGTCTCCTTCAAGGTGCTAGTTAGCTTTGAAACTTCCCGTGCATTATTCATGCCTATTTGTTCTGGTTTTGCATGTATTTATTTAACTACGTATCCTTGTTTAGACAAACACATTCATAAGATGACAGAAGGTGGGGGGCTGTAAATTGGAGAGGCTTGAGGCTCTTCTTCCAGGGGCTCTGCACCTGGAATTTTCATTAAATCAACTTTGGAGAGCTTTATAGTCAAATAAAGCACTCAAAAATAAAGTACTGTAATTAATGATATAAACTATTTAACAGTGGAAAAAGCAAACTTCTACTAAAGGTTAAGAAAATCACTTTCAAAAGTGTATTATTTGAAGCACAAAATGGAGCAAAAGTAGGTATTTTTTGAATCTTAGAAGTAGCAGCGTAAGCATAGTTGGCTAACTGGACTGTTTCCCTTTTTCAGTGTTGAGAGTACTGCTCTAAGGCTCATCACAGCTTTGGGCAGTTCGGAAGTCCAGCCACAGTTTACACGATTCCTCAGTGATCCCAAAACAGTTCTTTCGGCAGAATCAGAAGAACTCAACAGGGCTTTGATCTTGACTCTAGCAAGGGCAACGCACGTGACAGGTAATAGTGGTGCCGTGAGATCACATCTCAGTGGAAGCCGTGGTCAAGCCATTTACCTAAAATACGGTTTAGTAGAATATCCTGGAAATGACCCAGTGATCAGACATATCACATACACTTCTGGTTTTGAAAAAAGTGTAATTTAAATTTTCAACTACTTGTTTTTAGGCAAAAAGCTGTTATTAAAGCAGTAGTTAAATCAGACAGTGTTTGAAAGCTTATTTTTATACAGAGATACAAGGTAACTTTTTAAAACTGTTTTCAGTTCATTATTTGAAATATAAATGTTTGGATTGATTACTGACACATGCGATTTAAAAAACATGGAATGTTCACAGCAAGTGTCTTGCTCATGTGTAAGCCAGCCCCTCTACAGCTTACCTTTAAGAAAAAGTAGTGTTTGTTTGGGGTTTGCTTTCTTGGGGAAGGGAGAGGGAGAAGCTTTTATTGTGTGTTTTTAACAATGTGCAGTGACACGGCTCAGTTTTTTCTTAACTTTAAGGGGGATGTTTTCTCTCTCTCCTTTTTTTTTTTTAATGGTTTGAGTCTGGAGACTCGCTGGAGAGTTAAAACAACTGATGTCACAAAAACTGGTGGAGGTGATTTGAAAGGGGAAGGGGTGGCTTTGTGTTAGGTTTTTTATTTTTTAACCTTTGTTCAACCTTTAATGTGAAATCAACACTGGAGGTGGGAGGGATGAGCCTTGTGATTTATTTCTATGGCTAAATTGGGAAAGGTGCTGCTGAAGAGCCTTTTTAAAGCAATATAAAATAGCATTTGGCAATTCCATCATTATCTTCCTTGGGATTTTTTTAAAAGTCTAATCAGTTAATCAGTAAAAGCTTGTCTTACTGTCATTACAGGAAATGAAATATAAAATCTTAAAGTCATGATTGCTTTATTTCTAGCTCAAAACCTAAAAATAACTTTGCCATTGTTAATAGCCTAGAAAGTTAATATCCAGATTGTTCCGTAGAGTAAATAAGAATTAAAGAAAGGGAATGGGAGAAGTTGGCCGAGGAGGAAGCCATGTTGAACTAGCAAAGCCTTGATGTATGTGACTACAAAAGGAATATCAATTAAGAAATGTTCTTTTTTGTGTGAAATTCTAATGTCATCAATCTGTTTTCTAGACTTTTTCACAGGCTCTGATTCAATTCAAGGAACTTGGTGCAAGGATATACTGCAGACTATCATGAGTTTTACTCCACATAACTGGGCGTCACACACACTAAGCTGTTTTCCAGCTCCTCTGCAGGTAATAGTTTCAAACTGATGATTTTATAATTGGGAATATGGAGAATTTTACCCTCTTAACTAGCATAAGGCAAAGGATCTCGTCGTGAGATTGTTCTCCTGTCCAGACTGCATTAATCTCAAGTCCCTAAAGAACACAGCATGATTGTAACATTGCTATTTCTTCAGAAATGCATTAGCTTCTCTTGGAGTATTCTAAGGCCAAGTTTGGCCAACCGACACTTGCAGCGGAAGGTAAATAAGGTCTAATTAAAATTAAAAAAACTGGAGAAGCCTTTTTTTCTTGTGGCAATTAGTCGTGTAGCTTTGTTAGTGACGTAACAGTCACTGTGGTGTCAGGCTGAAGCAACAACTCTGCCTGGCGCGTTTGTATCATACAGGGAAGTAGGAACTCACAAGGTGCTAAGTCAGGCGAAAGTTCGCCTGTGCGAACGTTTTATCCTCGGCTGTCAGTCACAGTAAAGCCTGCTTTTTTTCAGGTGTTCTTCAAGCAGAATAACGTGCCGCAGGAAAGCCGGTTTAACTTGAAGAAGAACGTGGAAGAAGAATACCGCAAGTGGAAGTCTATGACCGACGAGAATGATATAATCACGTACTTTTCTATGCAGCATTCACCCCTACTTTTCCTCTGTCTCCTGTGGAAGATGTTGTTAGAGACTGATCACATCAATCAAATTGGCTACAGGTGAGCTTAAAAGATGTGCTATTTCCAAGTTACTACGGCAACACTCAGTTTTGAGGGCATAGGCCTTGGGCATTAACAGCTTGATTTGTATGGGGTTTTCTTATTAATTCAGAGCATGAAAAAAAGGAGTGGAGCTAGGTATTAGCAAGCATATCATAATAACTGTGCAGTATTTAAGACTGGTTGCACCACACAGTGATCTGCAGCGCATATTCTTCCTGGTAAGAGATGAGGACGTGAGGTCTTTGAATTCAACGGTTTACTTGCCATGGCAATGTTTCAGGCAATCTGAAACAGTAAAGAGAAGATACAACACATGTATATTTACTTAACCTTTATACGTGGCCAATTATTTAAAAAAAACCCCAAATGGATGTTGAATTAAGATGAAAATTATTGTGGAATCTTCATTTTAATAAGATGATAATTTATTAAGAATATTTCATCTTCATTTTATTAAGATGAAAATTATTGTGGAATTATTGTCTAACAATTTTCTTAACTTGTTCTCTGAAATAACGGCATCAGCTGTGGCCAATGGATCCTTTCTCTTCAGTCCTTGTTAGGTCTGTGGAAACAACTGATGTTTGCAGTGAGGAAATATCAGTATTTTAATGCTCTGGTTATATTAAAACGTGTACTGCAGGAAAACAAAGTTGAGTTGAAGAAGATTGGCCCAAGAGTTGTAAACTAAAAATGGGTAACTAAAGCATGGGTTCTGGGCAGAATACTATATGGAAGAATAGGTGAACTTGAAGTGTTTCTTCTGCTTAGTATCCAGGCTTTGGAATTCCGTTGCTCTAAGTTGTTACTTTTTGCTTTGGTTTGGGTTTTTTTTTCAGTTCATTTATTAAAGGGAGAATTTTTGTCTAACTCTTATAAAATAGACTAGTTAAAAATGTATTAAGAACAGTAACAATTGCTTGTTGCCTTGTCAGTCTGTGTGAGCATTCCTGTAACAGAGCTGTAGTGGTTTGTTTTGTTTGGATTTTTATTGTTTTCTTCCTCTTCCTGCCTAGAGTGTTAGAAAGAATTGGGGCCAGAGCTCTGGTGGCACATGTCAGGACATTCGCAGATTTCCTGGTGTATGAATTCTCTACCTCTGCGGGAGGCCAGCAACTCAATAAATGTATCGAGATTCTCAATGACATGGTGTGGAAATACAACATTGTAACGCTGGATAGGCTGATACTGTGCTTGGTAAGTGTTGCCTTCGAAGACAAGATGCCATTTCTTCACGCAGAGACTGCTTTCCGAGTCCCTTTTTTAGGACTGATCTCTTTAAAAATGCATTGGTTTTACACAGTGACTGTTAGCTAACTCAGTAAGCAACGTAAAACTTGAAGTCTTGCAGTTCTCTGAATCTACAGGGCAATCTTTTCTTGGTTATGTAATGGCAACCATTGAACTGGTATTATTAAATGCTGTTATTTGTGCTTTGATTCTCTGATCTCAGAACTCTGCAGTTATTTCTGGAGCCTGAAGAGGTAGAAGGGGTATGGTATGCCATGATTCAGAAGCAAATGGAAAGTCTTGTATGAGATCTGTGCTCATACTGTTCCTTCAGAAGAGTAGGAGAGAAATGACATTCTGTGCCTTTTCGGCTTTTTGGACAAAATAAAGCAGAACTTATGTAGAGAGAATTAAGTTTTCCTTCAGCAATTATTCTTCACTTACATTTTAAAATCTTGTAATAATGTAAAGCTGGATGTTTAAATTTTAGTTTGGTATTCAGACTGAATTCCAAACTTGTCAGTGGCCAGACATTTGACTCGATCTTAACTTCATTATCATTAATTGGCTATTTTCAATAACAGAACTGGCAGCCAAAAGAGAGATAAAATTCTTGGAGAATGTGCTATCACTGGGGAGTTTGTAAGACTTTCTCCTATGGAATAAAAAAATGTGATGGGTACTTCTCACGGGAGGTGATAGAACCTGGCTTTTTTCTGTGCCTTCACTTGAAAAATACAGTTGAGAGACCGTATGTTCAATGTGAATTTGTGTGCAGATATACCTAACTTGCAGCCAGATTTGCTAGCCAAGCAGGCAGCAGCATCAACTGTAATTCCATGTTTTCTGATCCTTTTTCTTTAAGGCCATGCGTAGTCATGAAGGAAACGAAGCTCAAGTCTGTTACTTCATAATTCAGTTACTCTTACTGAAGCCTAACGATTTCCGAAACAGAGTGAGTGATTTTGTGAAGGAGAATTCTCCAGAGCACTGGCTGCAGAATGACTGGCACACTAAGCATATGAGTTATCACAAGGTATCAAAGCTAATGCAATTATTTTATGGCACTACTTTCTGTGAAGGTGAGATCAGGCAAAGCACGTTTTGTCCAGTGAATGACAGGACAGCTTTTTCAGCTACTTAGTAAGTAGGAATTTATTTGGGCTAGTATTAAACCCCCCCCCCCATTTTTAAATCACTGTGTAATAACATAAAAACCATAATGCAGTGATATTTAAAGGTAGAAGCAGCTGAAGGGTTGGTTGGAGATTCATTCTTGCTCATCTATATCCAGGCATTTTAAAATCTTGTCTTTACCGAAATCCATTTAGAACAGAGTTTTTGTACATCAGGTAGAAGATATTTCCTTCTGGTGTTTTTATGACTATAACAATAGTTAAACCTATGTTTTCTCCTAATTATTAAAGCTTCTTCCTTCTCCTGTGTGGCAAAAATTCCCTGATAAGTTAGGGAGAGATACTGCTGAGATTTTAATGCTGCTGTAAGTACAGTGCCTTCTGCTGGCTAGAAAAGGATGGACCAATGGAGTGCATCAAAAGATAAATCAACACTCAGACAAAACAGAAACCAGCAAACTCATGTAGCTGAACACAGACAATCTAGTTCTGATCCAGGAGCTATTTGGTCTGTATTAGCCCTCTGCATTTAGCCTTCCAGTGCTTTGACAGTGCCTAAAACTGTGAGGGTAGCAGGAAATCAGATTCTGTTAGCCGGAGTACTCCTCTGGTATTTGAATACACTCCAGTTCTTTCCAAGGGATTTATTACATGCATATTATTTCTAGTGTGCTGATTCAGTATATGATGCAGAAACTTTCAGCAGTGCTGATTACCCCTAGGTTTTCTCTCCAAATACTTGACAAGGGACACATAAGGGCTGGCTGCTTTCTGCTTTGCCTTGGGATGCTTGATGCTCTCTTATGGCCACTATGAGGAGTGGTGAAACTGTTTTGGTTTGGTTTTTTTTTCTGAAGAAGTTGCTATCCACCAGTCATAATATCTAAATATTTTCACTCAGAGTTGAATTTTCTTTAGTAGGCTTCACAGTGGGATCATCTCACTCCATTTATGTATGATAATGAGGGTTATGAATTGTCTTTTTAAAGAAGTGTAGATGCTGGATCTTTAGTGCCCGGCTTTTAAGGGAAGAGCTTTTGATTTTGTTGGATTTCTTTCCCTCCAGAAATATCCTGAAAAGCTGTATTTTGAAGGCTTGGCAGAACAAGTCAATCCCCCAGTTCAGATCCAGCCCCAGTACTTACCAATTTATTTTGGAAATGTATGCCTGCGCTTTCTGCCAGTGTTTGACATTGTAATCCATAGATTTCTGGAATTGCTTCCAGTGTCCAAATCACTAGAAACACTATTGGATCATCTGGGAGGTTTATACAAATTCCATGGTAAGTTACCCGTGAATACGGACTTTATTCCTGTTGTGATCATTCCATTCTCTTTAATCTCCTTAATTTGTGATTTTCATCTACTGGTACAGCAGCGTGTTAATCCTTTCTCACTGTGTAAGCCCTGTGCACATTTACACAGAGGAGTACAGTCCCTGTTCAGTGAATTGCAGCCTACTAACAGTGAACCTGCTTTTATTCAGGTAGCTCTTGCCAATTCTAGTACTTGGCACCTGTGTCCTAACAAACCTGGTGTTACCAAGACTGAAATAGCTAAAAAGCAGTTCCTCCAGTTACGCTTGTTTAAGATTCAAATAATTCAACCTGATTCCCCCCCCAACCTGCTGTAACTGCATTTTTTAACAAGGATTTGTATAGATGTCATTTCTGTGTTACCCCTGGACATTTTACAATGTTCTTTCTTTACTGTGACTTCGTATCTGGATTGTTCCTATTGACTACCCCTTTTATATGAAGGGATGATTTAAATGGTTGACTTACAAGTGTATCAGTATTATCATTAAGATATGAGCTGTCAGTAACACTGACTTTCTTTGCTCAACCTCTACCATTCTGCATACACACTAAAGTCTGTGTACAAGGCAAAAAAAAATCAGTGTTGTGTAGTGAAATAAAGAACATGAATCAATTCCATATACACTGTTTTTAAATACATAACATTTGTTCTTGATTCAAGATCTTGATCAATAGCTCTTGATTGTAATTTTATATTTGTCACCATAAATATAATAGTCATGCTAGAAGTTATTTCTGGGTGGGTTTTTTTTTTCCCTTTTCTTCTTGGCAGACCGTCCAGTGACTTACCTGTACAACACCCTTCACTACTACGAGAGGCATCTCAGAGAGCGCACCAACCTCAAGAGAAAACTTGTTCACGCCATAATTGGCTCTCTCAAAGATAATCGCCCACTTGGCTGGTGTTTAAGTGATACTTATCTCAAATGTGCTATGAATGCCCGAGAAGAGAATCCGTGGATCCCTGATGATGCTTACTACTGCAAGCTCATTGGAAGACTAGTAGACAATATCCTTGCATCAAACAAGCTGTGCCAATGTCGTAATAGCTTCATTTCATCAATACATGAAATTCAATTTCCATCTATTCAGGTACAAAATAAAGGCTGGAGTCTTTGTTTGGCTACATAGATCAGTCTAAATTTATAATAGATTGTGTCATGGTGTAACTC